TTCTGGGAGTTGAAGTCCACTCATCTTAAAGTGGCCAAGTTTGGACAACACTGTTCTACATCTAATAGCAATCTCTAAATAGCTCTAAATAGAGCTGTGTAGACCACAGACTTTGCCACAGGCAACCAGTTCATATCCAGCCAGTTGAGGCACACTGAAGCCAAGAGAAAAATGCTTAGTAGAAAGAAAAGCCACTTTGTTACTTACTATTATTAAGCGACTAGGTAACAAAATGGCTTTTCTTTCTACTAAGCACATCAATCAGGTACAAAACATTCCTGGCTCTTACCAGTTCATGTATTTTTGCCCACCACTGTCCTAGAGAACTTTATTCCATAAAACAGAGGTTAAGAAGCAGAGGTAGTAAAAGACACATGAATGCTAATCTTCATGATAAGGCAATGGTGCCGGGGACAAAATCTTTCTATCATCACAACATAACACATTATGGTCTATTTTAACACAGATGACTAATCAAATAACATGTAACAGCTTTGCAATGCTGATGAATGTATTATGCAACCGCATCATTACAAGCAGTTCAGCACAATATGAAAAATGTAAAGTCACGCTGTGAGTCACACTGGACTCTTACTGACTTCATGGCCATGTAGTTTTCTTGGCAGCCAAACAGAAGTATTTATTGACTTCCCAGTCTAGCCTTCCATACAACTCAAGCCCAAACCTGTTTAGCATGGTTCAGCCAGATGCTACGTGCACACTCTATCAGGAACACTGAGTCAAAGGGATATGTATTTTAAGAAGTATAACATGATATGTTGATGCAGTACCCTGAAATTTCAAGTGTGCAAATATGCCCATTGCTTGTGCAGATGAGGGAACAATCCAGGCCTTGGATACTACCGAATCTGAACTGCAATACGTGTATATCAAATACTATTCAGGAAAACTTAAAGAAGTATCTGCAAAGAAATAACTAATTGTCATAAAGACAAAGGGTTTGTGGGAGCTTCAGCTTAACTACAGCATTATATTCATTTTTCCTACAGTCATCATGCATAACAAAATCTCTATCATACTCCAAGTCTCGAGGATCACTTTGGGGGAGATTATAATAATCCTTAGTATGTTATTTTAAAGTATTCTTATCTAAGTAGCTGGTGTTACCTTGCTCAGTGGACACATTGCATTTTGGTATTTGGGAACAATCCCCAATCCGAATGTTTGGGTTGGTTGTAAAACACCAGGGTACCTCAGCTCCGTCTGGGTTTCGGCAATAGTTCTCTCTTAAATCCCTGCAAAAAATAAGAAGAAGAATAAAGATGAAAAATGTGCTAACATATGTCTGGCAAACTGCTGGGTTTCTCTCACATAAGCAAGAAAAGTTACTTGATAACTGTGTCACTAACTCTGTACTGCAGAAAAATGAATGTGTTAAAACAACAATAGCAAGTGTGCACACACATTTTTGTAAAACAGGAAATTCCAAATGCTAGACAGCTAATAACATCATTTCAATTCATAGTAATATAGGCTTCTGCAACACTGACAGAAATATTTCCATTCTGTGCATTCATATCCAGAAACTGTAAAATCAGTGCTGCCCAGGATATTTTCTCTCTTTCTTTCCAAGATCTCTATCCTACCTCAATGCTAATGGGTGAAGATAAAAGATGTAATACAGAAACCAAAGGAAAAAAAGGGAAATGCATAGCATAACGAGACACCATGAACAACTAAGGGCCAAAAGGTGCTCAAATAAGATGATTTTAACCTATTTGTGGAATAGGTTAGAGTAGGATCATCCATAGCCTGAGATGGCCACCGTAGAAATGAATTATTACTTTGTTCCCTGAACTTCCAAGTACCCTCTCCAGCTATCCAGATGGACTATCAGTTCCTATCCTGCAAAGCATTGTTTGATACATCCCAGTGCTGTGCTGTATACGTTTTAAAGATAACCAGCACTATGAATTGAGGCTAGAGAAACAGCAACTTAAGAACTGGTGATACATTATTTTTTTGCCTATTGCAAAGGCTTCCATGCAAACCTCAGATACATCTGAAACTGATTATTAACTCCTGCCTTCAGGTTTACATTAACAAAATAAGCTCCCACCTATTGTTCTGAATGGATCTTCATGTTATATAATCACCCACACACACACACACACACCCTTAGTTTTATCACTGATTTAACTAGGAAACTGGAACCTGTGTGCAGAAGATACAGCTTCAGAAACTTTCTGCATGTGTTACCATTTCAGCCAAGTCTCTAATCTTTGGGTAATCTCTTTAAAACAAACTCTCTGCTTATATTAAAGCATCAATCTCTGGAAAACGCAAATATTACTCTCCGTTCCCCCACAGAGTTCAGTAGAGCTTTCCATTTCCAAAGACTCTTTTGTCACCATCCAGGACAATGGGTGATAACTGTCTATAAAGGAAATGTACCTCTAGTCTGAGTCTGTTTCCAACATCACATTTCCCCATATGCATTTTTAAAGAAATTGTATAAGGTAACCAAAAATCCATGAAGACTGGAAGTCATAAAACCCCTCAACTTTCAACACTTCAGCACTTTATATATTGAATATTTGAGCTTGAATTTTCTTAGTTTCAATAGCTGAGACTTTTTTTTTAAAATGCAGCTAGGAAAATACTATATCATCAAAAGGACACTGAAATTGACAGCAAGATTGTAGAGTTATACCACTATTTTTGTTAAGATACAGTCCAAATAATATTTCAAAGTTTCTAAGGGATTCCAAGAGAATGAATTGTCTGAGAAAACTACAGGACTAGGTCCTACCTTCCTTCTTGCATGGTTTCAAAAGGTTTCTGAAGAAAGAATTTATAGAAGATACACAAACTAATAACTACAATTTATTAAATTTGGCTAACTATTATGAGGAGGAGAAACACTCTCAGATTTGTACATGCTTTTCTTTAAGGCAAAGCGTTACACACATCTGGCTGAACTCTTGAAATAACTCACTCCAATCCTCCATGATTGATTGAAGTAGGACAGTGTTCAGAGTAAAAGCCCAGAAGACTACAATAAGACTTTTACACCCTGGTTCCTTTACACACTTAATCTGAAAGAAAGGTCTACAGAAAACCACAGAATTTACTGAGCAGACATCTACAGGACTGCAGTGAAAAGAATCGAGTTCTGTGACCTGAACATAGGTCTCTAACTCCTCATTTTATTCCTGCATGCAAACATCATCAATCTAAAATCTGGACTCTAAGTAGAAGTTTCTAAGAAATTCTCTACCCTTTGGTGGGACTTACTTCCTTAAACCAATCTGAACTCCTGCTGACTATGCTGTTTTCTTGGCAATAGGTACGGAAGTGGTTTTCTATTGCCTTCATCCAGGTTTTTTTTTTTTTTTTAATTTCCCAATCTCACCTATAGCTCTGAAATTTCATGGTGGTCCTTCATTCAAGTATTAACCAAGTCTGACCATTTCTTAGGATCAGTCAAGGTCGACTAAATGTTGCCACCTCTTCTGGGTACTCCTAATAATTGTGCTTAACCGTTCTAAATTTTGAGCAGCTGCATAAATTATCTTCAACATTCATTCACCAAACCAACTGAGTGGAGTTCCAGAGTGGTAGAACAAAAGTTTATACGAATACAATGGTTGTATCAATGTTCTAATTGACTTGTCCTGTTTTGAGTTTTAATTCTTCAACATGTACCCAACAATAGCATCAAGGCAGTTTTTGATGTTAACTTTAAATCATATGCTGTAGAAAGCAGATTACTGTTTTCTTTCCCAACAATAGTCATAGTAGAAATGATTTTATCAGGCTTTAATTGCAAGTAGGCAAATGAAAATGGAAAATGCAATGCCAAAATGATAACCTTATATCTACATTAAATGAAATATGATATCATAGATGAATGCAGGATTGTGCCCTCCTAAGTTTTCTTCTAATAAAGTATAAGTACATAAATCAAAGTCTTGCTAAATGGCAGCACCTAGCCAATTTGGGCTGACCTTGAAGACCTAAGCAGGGTTGAATAGGATTGTACTCAAATGGGGTACATTTTTTCCAGGGCTGTAGGTTTCAATAGGAAACAACTCCTATATTTTTGCCAAGGAAACAACCTGGAGACACCAGGAATCAAGCTCAGTCTGAGGAAGTCGTTAGATAGATGAAGCAAAATTGCTCATCTGTGGGTTCCTTCTCCTAGCAGGGATAATGTTTCTTTGGAGATAGTTTGTGGCTTAATATCTAGGAACTCTTCCTCAACTGATTGACCTGCAGGAGTATAGACTATAACATGCTCACAGGATAAGACTGGAGCTGTTGGGCATGGGGTTGGTTAGGGTGATGTATACTACCTATTCCACCACCAGCAGTATTCTCAGAGCTATCCAATCCTGTTTGTTCCCGCAGCATCATTTTTCGGTGACATCAATCATCTTACACACATAAGCATTCTGCTTTGAAATCTATGCCATTCCTCTCTCACCAAGGCAAGAGAGGGAGACAAAACCCTTCCACGACAATGATTTACTTCACAAGGAAGTCTATTCATAATCAATAGGACTTCTTCCCACATACGAGTGGTAGGACTTTCAGTTTTAAGTGAATTTAATAACACTGAAATGGAACTTGGAAAGAGAACCACTTCATGGAGAATAAAGACAGTTTACAGCACCCTAATTGTAGCATCCCCCTAAATAACCTCCTACCTATTTTTCAAACAAATGTTGGTAAAGAACGCAACAACAAAGGTGCACAATGCAAGTTCATGCTAAGTTTCCTCATTAGTCCATCTTTATGCACTGCATGAAGATATTGCTCCATTACCACAACATCAGTGCAGTGCAAGAAGTTAGCAATAGGACGGAGTTGCACGCAAAGACAACAGATACCACCCAGAGATACATGGGAACAACAGAACATAAACACAGGGCTGGCTCCTGCAGTGGCGCAATGGGGAGTCCGCCCAAGAATTTTGGGCCACAAGAACATTCTCTAGATTATTTCAGCCAAAATTGAGAGTGATGAATAAACACTGCAGATATGAACCTAGAGCATCCCATATGATAAGATTCAATAGGTGAGCATGTGATGTCATTCCTTTGCTGTACTTGACTAACATCACACTAGTACCACCATTAAAAGCAACCTATTTGAAGGCCAAGGATGGAGCCCATGAAATGTATGCATCCAGCAAAACCCAGAAAGAAAATGCATGCCATACTTTCACTTCCACCTTATGGAAAAATGTACACAGTTGAGTTTTTTCCAGTGTCATGTCACAGGAGTTGTGTCAAAGGACCCATGTTATATGCCATTGTAACAGTGTCATCCATATGAAGTTCTGCAGCATTGTGACTGATATCACAACTACCAGAATAAGTTATAGTTGAGTGTATGTAAGCAGCCTTGCAGCCCAGCCATTCCTTGGTGATAATGAGACCCTTGATGAATATTTGTTTGTCTTGATTCTCTTGGGTGGATAACCTTTCAAACAAAAAGGGAATTTAAAAAGACTTCCAAACACAGTTGCACTGTCTAGGATCACCTCCATGCACCTGTAGTTCCATGATATCCTCTCTTTTCAGCAAATGAGCTGATTTATTGTTGACTCTTTGCAACTCTATGGAGCTTGTGGGTGGCTATTTCCCCATTTATAGAAATCCTTGCTTCACTCAATTTTCTGGTTCCTGGGCTGCAGCCTAGCTGAGAGGGTCTTTGAAGGGGAAAGGTAGCTTGATGGTTTTTCAGCTCTCCCCATACAAATTGCTGATTTTTTGGGGGGGAGAGGGCTGTCAGCCATACAAATAAATGCAATGTGAAGTAATGATGTATATAAGAAAATACAAGTATTTTTTTCTACTTCCCTTTAGTGTGGAATGAAGCAGTTTTGTTGTTGATGTTGATCCTATAGTGGTACAGGATGGGGAAGTACTTTCTTCTTCCTGTTCTTAACATTTCTGAGCTGGCAGAAGTGAAGATGTTTGCAAACTGTCTTCAAGCTATTTTTTCAGGGATCCATGGCAAAACAGAGATGCCCCAAAGTTAGTGAGACAAGATGATCTGTAATTGGTTCTTTCGTCTTCTTATATATAAGAGTAGGAAACACAGGTTGCCACACTTAGCTGAGAGTAATTGTAATGAATGCATATAATTAACTAAAATGAATATATTGAGGATGCCAAAAACAAAGAAGGCTCATTAAAAAACTGTGCATTGCTATGCCAGCAATTAAAAAAACAATCAGGGAAAGCTGTTAATCAAATGCTTAGTTTTCTTTGAATGTGTATGCACTGGAGACTTAACACCATATTTGTAGCTTTCTTTTTATTTAGAAACATATCAAACTCTAGAAACAGGCAACAGATCTTCCATCAAGTTCCCAAAGACCCAAATTGTTGAGAGGTTCCATGCCAGTCACAACTGATTCCAACTAAAAAGTGTCTCCCTTTCTTTGTTACCAAAATTCCAAGTGCAAGTTGCTTCCATTCCCATCTTCACCTGTGGTATTTAACCTTCCAAATTTTGATGAGTGTTGCATTTCAAAGGATGGACAGAGATTCCCAGCTATCAGTAACATCTCTCCCCTAGATAAAGCATTCTGGGAGATCTAAAATCCATTAATGTCCCTAGCATCCACACCATGTCTTTTATTCAATTAGCGCCACTAATTCCACTGTATTCAGCCTGGTTGGAAACTGATGACTGGGTCCACAAATGGAGTAGCTGAAAAGTGCCCGGACATAATGTTCAGTGGAAGAACAAGATTTGAACAGAACCTGGATTGTGACAATTGTATCCTAAGATCTGCATCTTGGATGTAGACAAATGGCACAATGTTACATTGAGCGTCCTGGAAAAGAAACAGAACCACGATAACTTCTTGCTTACAACTCTTGGTTACGTTCCCCAGATTATATGAAATTTGAATTAAAAATACTAGAACTTCTCTGCCATTTCTATTCTGGAGCTACAATGATGTCATGGTTCTAATTCTGAATCACAATGGATGACGGGATGAGTACCTTCATTCACACTTGTCTTTCTGTGTGCATTGGCTCCCCAACCTTCACCCTTTTCTTCCCCATACAGAACCAGATCCTAAGAACTAAAGTTTTTTTTTAAAAAAAAAAAATGGGACAACAACAGATTGAGCTGGGGAAAGAATTCATACAACAGGCCCCATAGTTAATCCACATCTTTCCATTATTTTTGTAAAACTCAATATAAAATGGAGCATCCTTAGGTGAACAAGTGGAATTTTTGACAAGGCTAAAGCACTCATAACAAAAATAAAACTGTCTGCCCATTTTGCCTAGCAAACATGCTTTCACAAAGTCATTGGTCACACTTTTGGATGATCTCTGGCGAGAGCAGGATGAGAGTAGTACATCCATCCTTGCTCTTCTTGACCTCTCGGCGGCTTTCAATACCATTGACCATGGTATCCTTTTGGGTCG